GTTCCACTGTATACATTTTCATATAAAAAGAATCTTCGCTGGAATAAGAATCTTCCAACAGCTAAATTTATTATTGGTCCGCCGTTTCGATCCTATATATTTCTGATGCGTAGCAGCCTCAAAACGCCTATCTTTCTGCGTTTTCAAACCAGCAAGGCTATATAGCATATGCCGTGCGGATTGGAGTCTTTTTCGATGAAGGTTCTCGATTAAATCTGAAGACTGCTTCAGGGAACTGTGGTTTCTTGAAACGAATTATATCGGCTGATGATGTGGTCTCTGACCCATTTTAATTAAGCCCAACTGGTAATTTAAAGTTTTGATCAATAATTGTGACACATGTTTCGATGACATACTGGACAAAATGAAGGATTTACAAAAACTTCAGAAGATCATGATTTGCGATCTTCTACTGTTGAATTCTGCATGTGCATGCATACAGGTGCAGCAAGAGAAAGGTCCTTTTCAGCGGCTTGAAATTTATCGAAACATGGCTCCGCTCAACTATGACTCAAAAAAAGGTTCAGTAATTTGACAGCAGTCACAAAGAGAGAACAGGCAAATTTGCTGATGTGTACCCAAAGCTCGAAGTGCGCCTGCTCCGCGAAGCGCTCCTGGTTCGGATCGGAATACACCCAGCTCGAAAATACTCCGGCCCCCTCGAGGTGCAACTGATTCCTATTGCGTTGTACGTATACATGAATATCCAGTTAACAATTCTCACCTCTAACTTCTTCCATACATAGGAAAAGAACGAAGTGAGACAAAATTTGCCCTGAGCTGGTTGTGTCCCATCCCATGTAGGCGTACACGACATGTTAGAAATCCTTTTTCGTACAAACTACTTAATCAGGCGTTTTCCGATAGATGCACTTCTACCCCCTTAACATGATCAATAATCCTAATTTACACCAATAATAACGTTGCAAGTTTAACTCCTGCGTATGCTAATCTTTCGATTCTCAATCTGTTGTAATTGAATATAATCCATTTATCTTCGCTAAGTATTTCTGGTTGCCTTTATCACTTCCTTAATTGAGGGCGATTTTGATTCTGAGGAAGGAAAGTTATCATCAGGAACATGAAAAACTGTTAAATTATATCACGTACCGAAAAGCCTTGGTTGTCAGTTTGATGTCATTCATCACTTGAGAAAGTTACCCCAGGGGGGGAGGGGGATACTCCGAATTTCAAGTGACGGGGCTGATCGAAGGATTTGGTCTTGAATTTTCAATTCCAGGATTTGGGGGGGGGGGGGGGGGGAAAAATTGTGGAAGTTTTTTTTTTGGGGGGGGGGGTTTTTTAAAAAGGGTTTTGGGGGATGTTTTTTTTAAAAATTCTAAATTGAAAATTCACACGCGGTTTTTTTGTTTTTTGGGTTTTTTTGTACAAGGCCCCCCTTTTTTTTTTTTTTTTTTTTGTGCCAGGGTGTTTTGTATGGGGGGGGGGGGGGGGGTAGAAAAATTTGGCAAGTATTTTTTTTGGGTGGCTTGATTTATAAAATAGGATTTTGGGGAATGATTTTCTGAATAAGTCTAAATGCAAATTTCAACCGACGTTTATTAGTCTTTGTGCGTTTTAGTACAAGGGCCTCCGTTTTATAATTTAGTGTTCTTTGCCACGAGGACTTGGCAAGTACGTAAAATACGTTAGCGGATTAGAAACACATGAAACATTATTTTGCATTCCAGTAGAAAGTCGACAATAGAAAATCAGCTTTTTTTTTACTTTTTCATAATGTTTCGGATCATACGTGCGATGTTATCTCACTTTCTACGGACTATAAACAGAGAACGCTAATTGTTTTTTTTTCTTTTCTCTTCGCTTTCGTACTGAGTTGAAGCATCTCATAAAAACACTATTCGGCGTAGCCACAGTAAGTGCATAAGTCATGGCTGATAATTTCTCCATCAATATGATATATTTTTTTGTCCTATCCACTGCACATATTGTGAATAATTGATGATCTTTAATGATTAGAACTAGCCGTCCAACTTTTCTTTCTTTGAAAACTTGAGTACCATGATAGTGTCACGTACTGAAACACTTTGAACCTGACTTGTAGTTTGCGGCAATGAATTTTAAAAAGACTTGTGCTTTTTTTGCATTCAAAGGGTCTGTTTACGTCTGGCTAATATAAATTTTTGGCAGAACTTGTTCTTAACCTTATCTTTTAAATCTTGGAATAATATTTGGTAATAAATTACCTCGAATCTCGTTGTCACGTGGTCCCGGTGCTAGAAGAATGATAAGTGACGTCATGATTCGCGGGAGCTACTAGCTATGTTGGTTGCTTTGGAATGGAGTTCTACGAAGAAAGTCTTTAGTAGCTACATCACTGGTAATGGCACCACATTCGAGTGTCAATGGCGAAAACAAAGGAGAGGAGAGGGGCGATAGTCTAACGTAAGCAAATGATCCTTGAATTTTGCTTTGCGCTAATAATTAATATTCTTTTGAAGAACACAAACACAGCATAAGCGCCCGCGTGCGTTTCAGTTGCTTGATCATCTTTAGAGTACAGTGATTTAAGACCTTCAAGTGCTCAATTTCGGGTATTTCATTGGTTTCCGAACGTTTTATGGTGCCTGTCAGTTTTGCGCTCTTTCGACAATTCGATGAAATCCTAACGTTAACCGGCATGTTTTATAGCGGTTTGCGGTTGTACAATACGAAAACGATTTTTGTTATTTGCTGATGGCAGATAGACCGTAACGTGCAATACAGAAACTCAACTTTGCTGGTAAATCATTTAGTTTATTGTGATCGACTCGCGTCCCTGCCATGCAGGGATCTTTGTTCAATATTGTGTACCTATGGATTCGTGACACAGGCAAAACTTTTTATTTTGACCGTTTGTAATGATTTGTATAATTTGTGCTTACATACAACAAGCCATAAGCGTTTCGCACAATTGAAAAGGCGTGACTTCTCTACAGATTTCAAGTTTGTAATCGGCATTCTTCGGTCACAAACTCGAAACTAACTCTCTGTGGAACTATTTAACGCTTGTCTTTCCTCGGGAAGTGAAGTTTCACCACTATGCAACAGAAGTGGAGACGACAATGATAAAAATTGTGGTTCCTTGTGGATGCTAAATTAAGGTTTTAGTCTTCACACTTAGTCTTCACAGTTTTAGTTTTATAGATGTACAATCAACTTGTTCATGCGATATGGGATCTTTTGTCCTCTCTGCTATTCTCAAAAGTTGATGGGGCGTAGGATTCCATAAATAGCATGAATCATCAGGAAATGATTTTTGTCCTTAAATTCCTTATGCATTAGCCAGAAAAAATATATTCTCGAGTTCCTATTCAGTTAGGTTTAAATAAGAGGAACCACTTGTATAATAAGCACTCTCATGCATATAGTTTATTGAAAGATACATGTCTAACACTTTAGGGTGTTGTATAAAAAGAACAGTTGATATTACAATGTCATGGCCAGAGGCAAAAATTATTTTGGTCTTGACAAGTTGTACCTGAATTATATAAGGATGGATTTTGGAGCTTCACTTGCCCTTGTATAAAGTTCGGTAGACTCAAATTCTTGATCATTGATCTTGGTACTTTTGACATATTTTTAGGGTAATTTGCCTTTAGACCAATTTTAAATACACTTGTTTAGCTTAACCATCAATAAACAGTAAGGCATACAGAGAACAAAAGTAATAATATGATTTTTGTTTGAAGCCACTTGCTTTAAATTAGTTTTGAAAATGGTTGCAAGTTCAGAAGTGTTAACTGCCATTATACCTAAATACCTTAACACGATATATCTATATTTTTCTCTAAACACACTCATATACTTACAATATATTATACACGCCTTTTTTCTTTATTTTTTGATGCTTCCTAGTATTTAAATTGCCTGGGGGGGGAAATCTCTATTCCTTGTAAGCTCGGCTTCTTGGAGATTTCCCCGCCACAGTTACTCCTTCCAAGTTGTATGCTAATTTTAAATTTAATGTCAATTAACCTATTTTCTATCTTTTTTTATTCTACTAGTAATTTATTCTGCGTGGCAAAATACTAGAATAAATTCCTTAACACCTACCTTTTGAAAGCAAGAAATTTATTTATTTATTTTTACTGGGACAGAAAATGTAGCATTTTATACCAGGAGATGATTTTTCTGACCAATTTTCAGAATTATCTAAACTGTAAAAATTATTTCTAATGCTAAAATTCTAAAATTAAGAAATTACAATGCAGTTGCAATGAAGTTGACATTGAAACGAGAAAAAATAGCTAAAATTAATAAGAACTGATAGGCATTTATACTATTTGTGAAAATTGCTGAAATGAAACCTGTTTTCCTAAAACGAGGTAATAGATAGTTTATTGAAAGTCAGTCAAGCCTGTTACTGAATTCCTGTAATTCTCATTTTTATTTGAACATTAAGGCAATCATGTTTTATAGTTTAAGGATATTTGACCACAAAATAATATTTGAGGGTCTTTTACCCAACTTCTTCTTTTATACCTGGTGTTTATTTGGGTGCAACATTTATACTACAGTAGATCGTAAACGACCACTTCATAATTGACTGCGGCCACTTTTTCAGATGACAATTTTAGATGTTTCCATTTATTTTTACCTTTACTAAGCAACCACCTGATACAATGGTTTGATCCTTGAGTTCACCATATGTACTAGCACTACTCAGAGAATGAGAAGAATGTTATTAGACAACAGTGATTTACATATATTAATAAGTTGTAACCTAAAAATCACATGCAATACCTTTTCTTCAAAAAGTAGATGTGTCAAGACTTCTCCTCATAGAATACCTCCTGCAATTCGAATCCTTAAGTGAACTCCTCCTGTAAGCAACCACTAACTCTGCGCATTTGGTTGGTTGCTTACGGGAGCTTCGACTGTCGTTAAATACTATGAGTATATCTCAGTTCTATTTTGTTAACAAGCTGAACATCATGGCCTGTTAAAGGTTATTGCATCCATAATCATAACAACCCTTTGCTACTGTTATTTGCTGCAGACATCAGGGGGCTTCGCTGTACGATGTTTTGGGTGTTGACAGAAATGCCACCCAGGAGGAAATTAAGAAGGCCTATAGAAAGGTGAGTTTTGGAGGATTTTAGTGTTAAATTGAAAAGGGTGTGTGGATTAAAGCTAAAAGTGGCACTAACATTATTTCCCCAATTTACCATTTTTTTCACAAGATAATATAGGGAAAGTGAGAAGCAAGATTTAGCAATTTATTTCTCTGCAGTTGCAGGCTATACGCGTGTATAAATACACAAAAATTCAAGGGCCTTGATTCCAGAGAAATTGCATCATTGTCAGATATCAAAAAAGTGATTTACATGGCACGTCATTCCAATCACCGCCGAAAATAAATCGCATGCTCATCACAAGACCCATTTGTGTCCAGTGACGAGCTGTTACGGCATGTGCACGGTAGTTAGCATAAACAGTAAAAGGGAAATGGTCTTATCACCAAACGATGAAGAAGTAGCTAATTCTTCTAAAAAACATACCCAATTCAAGACTAGAGTGCACAAACCATACCCTATTTCAGACCAAAACAGCTAAAAAAACATACCCTTTGGCGCGGCACATACCTATATAGCCTATATAAGGGACTACCACCCTGGGGCAAAAAACGCGTTGCAGATTATGAGTCTCGCTGCTTTTGCAAGCGAGACTAATAACTATTTAATGAGGTTAAATGGAAGTACAAAAAGTCTATAGTGTAGTAAAGACGTGATCAATTTGGTGTGGACCTTTGCTGATACTTTAGTTTTCTTTGTTCCAGATGGCATTAAAACACCATCCAGATAAGAATCCCAATAACCCTGAAGCCACTGAAAAGGTAGGCCAAGCAGGGGACGAATGTTAATTAGGATAGCCAGGTGCCTTTGACCCCTCCTTTTTGAGGCCTTCCAAGGGGTAGGAGCAACAGGTGACATGGCCTGGAAAATTGGCAACAGTCCTCTCAGAAAGCACTGACAATCTATTTTTTATGTAGTGAAAGCGACTTCTGTTCACTTTGCTATTTTGGCTGTTTCAGCAGCGAAATAACAAATTCTCTTCTGTTATTTTCCAGAAATCTCTGTTAGTTTGTTTGGAATGTTTTCTAATCCTGGTATTCTTCTTGAAGGAAAAAGTGTATCAAAAATCAATTTTTTTCCAGGCACTAAAATACCTCTGCGTTAAATTCCAAATTGAGCATCAGAAAAAAATTTATACCGAACTGACAACAACATTTTTGTCCTAGCTTAAATGCGACAGCAGCATTTTTTCCTAACCCACCAGGTAACAGGCAGTCTCAGAAAACCCCCAAAAAACGATAGCTCCCCCCCCCCTCCCCCTCCTTGGAAGGCCTCCTTTTTGGAAACAATTTTATTTATTAACAAAAGATAGAGTTTTACTGTGTTGGAGTACTGGCAAATAGCTATTAAGCTAATCTAGGCAGTACAAGAAAGGACGAAGGCGATGTTAAACACTAATTGCAAAAAGAAGGGACATCAGTAAAAAGCAGAAATAATTGCTGGAAGTTTTTGCTACAGTTACATGTAAACTTCAAGCGTAGTGATTTGTTATAAATTTTTTTGAACTAGACTGAAATTAGAATAAGAGGTATGTACAACAAATCATCAGGTTAACTTCCCAAAATAAGAAGGGCCAAAAGACTACAGATGTATGGTAATAATTACCAGTTACCAATTATTACCAATTATTGTAATAAACAACAAAAAATTAGGGGTTCAAATTGAAGAGGAGAATTTGGAGACCAAACTTGCCTGAACACTCATTTTACAAAAGCAATGTAAAATTACTTCGTCCCCAGTTAGGATAGGCTGCGCAGAAGACATAATTTCATCTTCGTTAGCAACGTCTGTGAAGCAGCATTATTTATCCTTGTTCTGGGCCTCCAGTGGACTCAACAAATCACCGGAAGTGGGTTTCGAATTTCCTTTCATCTTGATTGACAAATTGACAATGGCATTTTTAACAGGCCAATCATGATGCATACTCAAAACCTGGTACACAGTTGGGGGCCCAGGAGGAGGGTTTTGGTGCTGTTTTACAGACAGACTCACCAGAGTTTAGTGTCATCTGTGGCACAGGCTATTTCGCAGAAACCTAAGTTGATTGAATAAGTCAACTTTCAGGATCCTCTTTGGAGATGCAGGTGCTTTATCATTCCAACTGCAATGTATTGGTATGAAGATTATATACAAGGGATAAGCTGAATACCACTTAATACTTTTAGCTACAATTAATTTTTTTTCCTTCAGAAAATAAGAACCTAATTTAAGACCCTAAATAGCCTTATAATTTTGATAATTACTGAATACTTTGGAAGGAAATCAACATGTAATCACAGTTTAATAGTCCTGGTTAAGTCAGTCTATTATCAGAGTATTTGCAACACAAAATGTCCTAACCGTTTTCTCTAAAGTAGGACTGTTTTAAACTGTGATTACATGTTGATTTCCTTCCAAAATGTTCAGAGCTCAGGAAAGACTACACCTTCATAGAGGCGAAGGAAGCAAGCTCTATAGCCTGCGATGCGAATGCAGACGAATTTCTGGTCATCACTTCTCTCCACCGAAAAGTAGAAGGGAAGTGATGACCAGAAATACATCTGTGTTTGCAGGCTACAAGTTCCAGGAAACTTTTGTTTTTAGTCTTTTTGCCAAGTTTACTCCAATGTCTTTGCTATTTTAATGATGGCTTTTTATTATTTTTCAGTTTAAAGAAGTAAACCATGCACATAGCATATTGTCAGATCCCAGTAAAAGGGAAATTTATGATAAATATGGTTCTATGGGCCTCTATATAGCAGAGCAATTTGGAGAAGAAGTGAGTGTCGTTTTTCTTATTTTGTTTTGTTTTGTTTTATTGTTATTTTTATTACTGAGAAAAATATTCACTGATTGTTATGTAAAAAAAGTAAAAAGGAAAAGCTCTGAAATGGAGATTTATGATAAATATGATTCCATGGGCCTTTCATTGCACATCAATTTGGAGAAGAATGGGTTTTTTTCTTTCCTTTTTTTGATTAAAAAAAATAGTTTCTGTTTCTGTTCGAAGAAACAAACAAAGCAAAAACAAAATCCAGTATTGTCTGTTGACACCACTGGTATTCAGCTTGGTGATTAATTTTTTACTCACTCATTTAGTCAATGTGGTTTACAACAAAGCCGAAACGTGGATCTAACACAGTTACCAATGATCTCAGTTTTTCTTTTTCTTTTATGGTTAACATATGCATGAGTGTCAGCGGTAATGTTAAGTGAAGTATTGTTCTTATTTCCATTTAATGGCACTTGTTGTGTTTTTAAGTCTGTGTATTACACTGTAGTTAGTAGGAAAGAAAACTGGCAAAAACCAAAGATGAAAATAACGGTGCTGCAGTATATTTTGAGTGCCAGTCTTTTGTTTTTTGTTCACAAATTGTGACTGAATAAAATTGTTGGAATGGATTGCGTGACAAGCTAAAGTTTCTTACCCTGTGATGTAATAAGGGCGAGGCTGGATGGGTGGGTTTGGGGTCAGTGAAATTTTGTTTTGTTTTGAAATGAACAATAATGAGCATTTTTTGGAGCTGCAAGCTTCTCGCAACTTGTCTGTCAGTGCCTTCTGGGAAAACAGTATTTAACATTTCAGCCTGGCATTTTTGATGCTTTACGACGGTTTCGCTACTTTTCAAATTCGCTGCGTTCGAGTTCGCTAAGCGTTCGTGGTAAAGTCCAAAACGTGCACCCTCGGAGGGGCAAGCTTAAAAGAACGAGAAATGTATTAAAAGCTTATTTTTTAAGAGCGATTAAGGGAATATTTTCAGTATTTTACAGAAAGTATATATAATATGTAGGGAATTTGTTGCGAACTAGGACGTAGCGAACTCGACAAGTAGCGAAACCGGTTGTTATCTTTTTAATGAGCACAATACTTTGTGCTGTCATGTAGCAAATACAAAGGAGGGCGTTTTAGCAAAACATTTGTTTCTAAACAAACTGTGAGTGATACAGGCTGTGTGTTGCAGCTTGTCAATGAGAAGAAACAAATTGAACGTTTTTCAAAGATTGATTTTCGTTGTTCAATCTTATTGGCTGGCTTTGAACGAGTTTGAACTTGTTGAACGAAATGTAGACCATCTACTCCCGTTTATTAACACCGGTCGAATGTAGCAGCACCATTTTAACATAATGTGAGACTTGCCGTTTTATATCTAGATGTGCCTTCTTAGTACTTCAAATGTGAAAAACAAATTTTTGAGTTAAACGTTAAGAGTTTGAGACATTTCTATATTGTATTCCAATATAAATAGGAGTTGACTAATTTCTCGTTCAGGCCTTAACAGTATTTTAACCACAAGATTGTTTTGAAAAACGAGGAAATAGCGCCGACCTTGTAAAATCAAAATAGATTTTGTTAATTTTTAAAACAGTGCTTCATTTAAACATTGAATTTCCCATCATTTTAAAACCAATTTAATGAATTACACTGTCCGATAAATCTTTGGTAGATAACTGGAATGTTTCCCCTCTTTTGAGATTAAGTTAATAATTGACGGTGTGCAATTCGTCGTTTATTTTCATCAGTTTCCTTGGTTATAATCAACGAAATTCCCGCAAATAATTTATTCAACACTTTTGATACTTAGGCCAATGGCGATTTTAGTTTAAAGATAATAGGAAGAAAGGAACAGTACTTTTAGTCTCATTAAATTTGCCGCATACCGCAACTCAGGTGTTTCTTACGAAACTATATTTTCACACCGTGTCGATTAGATTCCTTCACTACTTGAAATTTCGATAGAATAATTATTGTTAATTGCTGTGAAATTTCTTGTTAATGGCTTCATCTAAAAGAATAGACAGTACGCCAGCTGGAGTTAATCGACATTTATTTCTCCGGTGGAACAAACTTCAAGTGAATGTAATGGAAGATCCTAGTTTTCGAGTCGTTCCAACTGTTGAAACAGTCCCCAAGGTTACGAGTCAAGCGCGACTAATTTGGGGCGCCAAAAATAGAGTCTTGAACGCTCAAAAGGAATTAGATGAAAAGTCAAAAACAAGCGAAATCCAAGAAAAAGATGTTCATGCAACAGTAAAAAGAGTGATGGATGCCCAGAGTGGAAAATCCAACCCGTTGGAGTACTTTAAGCAGCATCGTTTTGACGAAGAAGTCGATTTGAACGGTTGGCATCTTGGGCCAGTAACCTCGCGTGAAGTTGCCACCGAGTATTTTTCTTCCTCGACTATTGTACGCTTGCTCCTTGCCAATAACCGTATCGGTAATGAAGGTGGAAAAGCTGTTGCCAAAGGCCTGGAGACGAATCTGTCTATAAGAGAGCTTGATTTGTCTGGAAATGTGCTTGGACAAAGTGCAATCTCCGCTATTGGTGAGATGCTAAACAAGAAAGAAACTTTACAAAAGTTGAATCTCTCAAGAAACGATTTAACTGACCAAGATGTTGAGTTTTTTCTCCATTCTCTTTGCCTTAAAAGTGGTTTAAAAGATTTAGACTTATCTCATAACATTTTATGCGATCAATTTGGAGAACAGATGTCGGTCGTTTTAGAGAAAAACTTTGTTCTTGAAAAGCTTTCCGTCAGTTCTAATCAGTTGGAAGTATCGGGCTTGCAAGCCATGTCGACCGGTTTACGAAATAGCGCAACTCTTCGTAACTTAAACATTTCTTGGAATTACTTATATGACGCAGGAGCTGAAATTCTTGGTGAAGTGATGGCTCAAAACCAAAGTCTTATCGAAATTTCAGCCTGTGGGAATCTATTTACAACTCAAGCTGCAAGCTTCCTTGCCAAAGGGGTTATTAATAACTCCAACTTGAAAGTTCTTCGTATAGGTCAGAATTTGATAAGAAATTCCGGTGCCCATGAATTTTTAAATGTTTTATCTGTCAGTGACGCACCATCCACCGTCTTGGAAGTCTTAGATATAAATGGAACTGTTGTTGACAAGGAGTTTCAAAAACGGATTGAGACGGAGTTATGCGAGAGATTTCCTTCTTTGAACGTTGTCAATTTTTCGCTTGTTGACAACATAAATAACAAGCTTGAACCTGTTGAGAAAAAAGCTCCGGTTAAGATGTAAAAAAAAAAACGTTTTTCCACCGAAATTTGAAAAACCACTTTGTATTAAAATATTGATAAAACAAGATAAGACTGTTATGTGAGGTGATTAGAATAAGAAATTTAATATTTTGTCGTTTAAATGAAATTTTATCCAGTTAGGTTATATTAATGAGTACGGTACAAAGTTTTTTTCATTGCCTGGAGTGAAAAAGTATGCATCTACTTAAGTGTTTTTAAATTATATTCATGCAAACATCGTAATGAACCAGATAGTCCGGTATTTGTACCAACTGGTAGGCCTTTTGCATTAGTTGATCACGTGATCAACTTGCGGTAAACACTTAAACAGTTCGCTTTTGAAAAATTTTGGTATCACGAGCTGAAAGAGCATATTAAAATTAGCTAACCTGTAAATTTTTCAGAGACTACAACGACCGCCGGAAATTGGAAGGATTTGTATGAGAAAAACAACTCTTTCCACCCAGTCACGCTTGGGTGGTTTTCCACACGACTCCTTGTAAATTCTGAAACGAAATATTTCACGACAGTTTGAAAATCTCAATATTTACAAGGATTTGTATGGGTGCGTGATTGGGTGGCAAAAGTTGTTTTTCTCATACAAATCCTTCTAATTTTCGGCGGCCGTTGCAATCGCTACTTTTGAGACATACGGCTGAAAATTTACAGGTTACCTAAGTTTAATATACTCTTCCAGCTCGTGCTAACAAAATTTTTCAAAAGCGAACTGTTTTCGTGTTTACCGAAAGTTGATCACATGATCAACTAATGCAAAAGGCCTACTGTTCAGCTACTGGCTACGACAAGAAGCATTTACCATAAATGGTCGGTCTTGTTTACTACGCCTTGTGATTGGCTGATGTATTTTCGCGCCATTTTGTCAACAAACCAGGTGTAAAACGAGTAAAACTTGACTGCTGCACGCACTTTCCCGCGCTCAAGTTTGTTTTGTTTGTTTGATTCGCCACATACACAGATATTTGACGAATAATAAAAAAAATTCAATTAAGCCAAAGCAAAAACAGTAACTAGAGAGGCAGGAGTGCCGTAAATGTTGTGGCCAATTATCGCGGACCTGTGGAAATTCATGAGAGAGATTTCAACCTCTGGAGATCTAAAATCTGGAGATTTTCTCTTTCGCAGTAACTCTCCCACCCACCCACATTTATACCAATCGACCCAGTCCCCAAATTTTTTTTATGGGCATAGATCAGGCCGTTAAACGAGTCTTGATTGAGGTACACAGGGTTCTGATTGAATTAAGCAAATTTTCAACCAATCAGATGCAATATCCAGATCTGGGTAGTGACACGTCATCAGTATGGCTTTCTGCGGTCGTTTCTCTGACGTAATTTCGCGGGAAAACCAATGATGGCGTCGCGAATTCGCTTCTGCTTTCTTAGGCTACAGTGAGTCACTTCATGACAAGTTCGACGTTTGTCCCAGATTAAGTTCGTCTGACTGAGTTTGAATCGACATGTGCGTTCTATCCTTCCGTTTCAAACGGATAGATGGTGTTAAGATGCTGCTATTTATTTCGGTAGAAATATATGGAGCAGTTCACGTCGGGAAAACGAGAACTGCCCTTTACAAACGGATTTCTGCAACGGGGGGAGGGGGTGAATTCCACCTTTCGACGGTATACGTTTTCGTGCCATATTTTTTTTCTTTCCAACTGAGTGTTTAAGGTTTGGTCCAGCAGTCGAACTAAGCTAAATTAAGGTCGACTCAAATGACATTTTGGTTCGTCTCGTGAAAAACTGGACGTTTTGGCCGTGGCCTAAGTAAAGAATATTGTAGTTCCAGTGAGACCTTAAACTGCTGTAAAATAAAAAATTAAAAGTTAAAAATTAAAACTAAGACTGAAAGGAACTTGACTTTTTGTTTTTAATTATATGGTTAAAAGTTACGCCTGGTACTCCAGTCTGAATGTCCCCATTTTCTTTGTCGAGTACCCAGCAAGTCGAAACTACTTGATTCAGGTTTCCGCGGCTCTTGCGCCGTTCAATTTTTGACTCCTTTTCTTTTCTTTATGCTTTTCAGAATGTCAAATTATACTTTAGGCTTAACAGTGGCTGGTGTAAGGTAGGTGAAGATCTTATACCATGTTCCTAATAGTTAACAAATAAAAAAATGAAAAAATGAACTGCTTGGTATGTAATATGTTATTTATCGTTGTTTACCAATTACATGGGCAAACCGGCGGTTCACCGTTTGGGCAAATGGTTAGCGATATTAAATTTCGTCACGGAATCGCGTTTACCATCGGTACAAATGAGTTCCATTTACCGAAAAACGGCCTCGAAGGCCTGACACGAGATGCGATTTCACAAATGGAACACGAATTTCCGTTTGGAACATTCCGTCCGGAAACAATACCTTTGTAGTTGTTCTGTCTCCTGGAAATTTTCCGCTGGAACGATCCAAAAAGTCTTGATCCATTGGCTTTCCAACCGGATTTTCCGTAAACTTTTAGTAAATGCTAAATAACTTAAGGCTCTCTCAGTAAGCCAAAGCGACTATAAATTTTGTCATATCCTTCCCATGGCTATATTTGTCCATGGTAAACTCTTTTGAAATTCACCTTGTCGGAACATACGGTGGCCCATAGGTGCCGTCCCAATATTCTTGCAACCCATACAAATTTTATTCCGTTAAATTGTTTACCCCGTGATAATTAGGGACATGTAACGGACCCTTTGCAGAGAAGCACTCAGGGTCTTTAAATAACTGAGAAGAAAGTGCTGCCTTTGCAACGACATCTGCGAATGGTTAGACTTTCTAGTCTTCACCGATAAGGACGAAAAACCGTAGGTCCCGTCTCACAGCTCTTTCACTGATCAGTTCATGTCGGACGTAAAAGAACTCACACCGCTGTTCGAAAAGAGTAGGGGACGTAGTCCACGGTGGTCTGGCCAACCGGCTTTACGGTTTGTGGGATTGGGTAGGGATGGAACCTCGCATGGGACCTATGAGTCCCGTTTCGTGCCCATTCCCTCTGGGCAGGCCTGTGTCCAGAAAAAGCTGGTAAAGCAGTCAGATGCGACAAAAACAGCTAGCTGGATGACAAACGACGCACTAAGGCGAGAAACCAAAGAGATTACATCGTTCAAAAAACCAAAAAACTGATATCCTTTCCTTCAAGGCCCCACTGCATTGTTTGCCGTACAGCAAGGTGTTCTTGTACCATGTGACCGACGGACATTTGACAACCAGGGCCCGGTTCCTGAAAGGCCGATTAACGTTAATCCAGGATTAACATTTTGTTCCGTTTTTGTATTTTACATTCCTATGCGTTGCTTAGGGTAAAATTTTGTGTTACCATTACTGTGTCTAGTAGTAAAGGCTCAAGAGTATTTTGTAACCTCGAGTTGAATGTTCTTAGATGACAAAACCGTGCGTGAAATTTGGCTTAATTTTGGGTTTAAAGTTAACCATCTTTCGAGGGACCGGACCCAGAAAATAACAAAAAGAACCCTTTGAAACCGGGTGAATAATCACGTGTGCATGCTCTTTTTCGAACAGGCGCTGTTTATGTTCTGCGGTCTCATTACGTGCTGTTACTTCTGCTGCTGTTGTTTCTTTTGTTGTAATTTCTGCTGTGGTAAGTGTAAGCCAGTTCCCGATGAACAGTGGGAAGAATTCGAATTTGATGACGTCAAAGACGACGATGAACCAATAACGACGCAACCAGGAAGCAACGGAAATCACACGAGTTCCGAGCAGCCGAAGTCGCCTGGCGTTGATAGCGCGACTAGCAACAGCACGGCTAATTCCGCTATCCCCATGCCCTCGTCGTGAATGACGGTGCATCTTAGTTAGGGGAATGGGGAGTGGAATCGCTTGTGTCTGGCGGCCATGGTGAATTTCTGAAACTTATTAGACTGAGGGAAATTTTTGGCTCGTAAACAACAAGTGTGAAAACTATTTATTTGTAATACTATGGATGTTTATTGACTTTGGAATTGAGTACTTGTATATTAAAAAGTCTAGTCTTAACGTCCATAAAATATAATACATTAAAACCATAGTAGAGGAGACTGGTTATGAAGGCCAGCAAACATCAAAAATGAAATTGGGGTGCTGAAGTTCATGTTGGACGGTCAGTTCTTATTGTTTGCGAAGTCTTTCTCGTCGCCTGTCAGTTGTGTAGTTGCTTTGTTTTATACTACGCGACTGACAAGCGACGCGAACGACTTTGTAAACGCTAAAAGCCGTGCAAGAGAGAAACCACTGCTGGCAGGGTAAGTCCGGCGGGCTTCATAACCATTTGACCTTCTTAACCCAAGTCCCACTAGTGACCAACATCAATTTTCTCTTAACAATTTTCATAGATTGTCAAGAGATTAGGTTATGAGAATTAATAAAAAGCTCACTTAAGCGAAAATACTTTGATCTTTCTAGTATCAAATTCTCTCAACTCATTCTTTACGGAAATATATAGAGATCAGTTTGGAGAATTTGTATGTGGATATAATGGGACTTAAAGGGTTAACTGTGCTGAAACTTATGAACTAACAGCGATTATAAACCAATTTGTTGTCACGTCACAAAAAACACGAGTCATAAGACGACTTCGATTAGTCTCTGTTTTTGTTGATGAAGACTGCGAGATGTCGTAGAGGGCTTCACTGCGATGACAGTTGTGAACCTTGAGACTAGATTTAATATACAAGGATTTATTTGTGGTTAGTGAGAGGTGATTGTGTTCAGCAAGACTGTTATTGGGTAGCCTGTGTTTAGTTTTAGTTTCGTCTGCGACGCAAGTCACTTATTAGGCTATGACTATATAATTATTTAATTTGCGACATAATTAACTTTTTGAATGAGAATAATACAAGCTGGGACGAGTGCAGCTGGTAATCATTATTTAGGGATTGAAAAAAAGTGAGACTCCCAAGGAGGGACCTTGGGAAGAGAAATTACCGTTTGCGAAGACTCAAGAACCATTTTTGAGAGTGCAAACAGTAATTTGATAAAATTTATCCACTTAGGCCTTTAGCCTGAGAAAACAACCGACGTTTCGCGACGCCATCACGCGTTTCCCCGCGAAATGACGTCTGGGAAACGAGTACAGAAATTCCTTAATGATGACGCGTCACTACTCAGATCTAGGTAGTGCTTCTGATTTATTGAAGCAAATTTTCAACCAATCAGACGCACTACCCAGATCAAGGTATTAGGCTGATTTAGCAACAGAGCGGGAACGTTAGTTGACAACGACGCGCGCAAATCAAACAACTGACTTGACCAATGGCAGAGCGGCAAATTGGGCACCGGAAGTCGAGTTTAGTCCTTTCCGCGCGCTTTCCCGTCGTCAACTGACGTTCCCGTCCTGTTGCTAAATCAGCCTATTGACGCGTCTACAGTATGGAATTTCTGCACTCGTTTCTCAGACGTCATCTCGCACGGTAATCAGTGGTGGCGTCGCGAGATGTCGGCTGTTTTATCAGGCTCAGAAGCCTTCTGTAATTTATTGTACGCGATGAAGAAAGTGTACATCCTTGTTTGTTTGACTCAATGATGGCAACTTGTTCATCATGGCCGTCAACACGCAAAACTTTGCATGAATTAGCTTTAGAAATTAAGCCAGTCTCATATTGATAGGCAAAATTATTCCTTGGCATCATTTTTTATTCCAATTTTTTTTTCCTCCTATTGATCACAGAAGTATTTATGTTATAGTTTGGCCGTTTCCTGCCTTTTATACTAAGTTCCAATGATGTCGTATTTACACTGCCTGGCAAGTCTGTTGCTTTACGAAGGCTATATCCAAGCGTGTCTGTTTAAAGGCAGACTATCTTTACTTATGCTCTTGTGGGGCTTCCATGTACACTTTACGACACTTTAAGTGGATAAGTTCGAAAACAGATAATAGGGAGTCCCTTAGCAACCACCACGACGACAAAAACGAGAACGTCTTAAAACCTATAAAGGTTTTAACCCTTTAAACCCTAAGATCAAAATTTGAATTCTTATTTGTTGCCCCTATTCATTTCCTACAGAAGTAGTGAGGAGAAGTTGATAAAATATCAAGCAAATTGATCTTGTGCGATTATGTCCGTAATTCTCATGACCACTCCGATTTACAAAGCATTGAAATTACAAGGAAAAATTTGATGCTGATCACTCTTAGGGCTTAAAAGGTTTAATGAGTAAAACAACAACTCTGCATATTTATCACTATATTTGTTGCATTTCTTAGTCATCGCACGGCTACGGCCTGAAATTTCATTGACTTCACGTTTTATGGACGTAAACACACAACAACGACTTTCTATTTTCTTTTTCCGAACTTAGTTACGGCCCTTAAGAAGTCAGTGGGAGGAAAATTTCACCAACATTTTACGAATTGAACTGGCTAGAATATTTGCGACGTATTTTTGAAACAGCACAAAGTCACTTTTTAAGTAACGTTTTCGTTTCCTTCCTCTTCGCGGGTGCTTAAGCTCCGTAATTTCAGTGTGCACAGCGGTAAACCACACACTGTTCCTATGGGTTGAAAACCCTGTACGGGTTCGTGTTTAATGGGGTTTGAATACCTTACTTACTCGAATAAGCGCCGGGGTGTTTATTAGTTTTCACGCCTCAACTGCGGCGCTTATTCGAGGGCGGCGTTTATTTGAAAGTTGGAAGCGACAAAGAATTGTCTTAACTACACTGTTTTTATGTTCCTTATTAAACTAACGTCTTTTGATTTGAAACTGCAACACTACAGGAAGAGCGAAGGGTTCAGCAAAACTAAGTTTATGTGGAATTTAAAGCTTATTATTTTGCATAAGAGTTATCAAGTTTATGTGTATTGATAGTATTATATAATTGATATTTTTTTTATTCTTAAGAATAGGTTCGTTAGCTGTTAAAGCTTGGTAGTATGTACTAGTTTTCCTGATGGACTCGTATATTCTCCTTTAAGAGAGTCACCGTGTACTTATGAAGATAATACGTTTTTTAAGTAACAGAGGCCTTTATTTGTTGCCCTTTGGTGCTAAAAGGCAGTTAACGTAATATCGTTCTCCAACAAAATATCGAGTCGAAATTGTTGAAAACCTCAAAATATTGTAGGTGACAAAGATGGTCAGGTTTAGCGTGGAGGAGATGAACAAGGCGTACAGATGAAAAACTTTTAACTTTCAAAAGCCGTTTGATGTCTCGCTTTCTTCTGTATCTTTATTTTTGACTAGGAACCTCTTGTGTTCTCTTTAAAGGGCAATAACGCGAAATATTTTTGTCAAAAATTATTCTGAACTATTAAATCTAAGAGGTCAATTTATAACGGGTATCAGTTTTTGCAACTTTTCCGAGACACGATGACGTGAACTTGGAAAAGTAAGTTTGAGTTTTCAACTTGTTCTTATTTCCTCAGCATTACCTTGACCAGACACAACCGTAAATGGTTCTAGTGCGTATATAACTTACTAACGTAGTTGTTAGCACCACTGGAGCATTTTTAAATTTATCTTTCCGTTGTAACATCTTTGCGATTTTCCAAGTAACGCCGTGGCAGAGTCCCTAGAAACCTCGTTAATTTCACTTCACTTGGTTAGTAACTTTCGAGTCTATGCCGGGTCGGAACTCCTTTTCACTCGTTCAGATTCAGTATATTGACTAGAATTTTTCAATGCTCTTTGTATTATTATTGTTATTATTCAGAGATTATTATTATTATTATTATTATTATTATTATTATTATTATTTTTGGCAAAATGAAAGTTTGGTATCCTTTAACCTCATCCGGATTAAACAGCTCTAACCTGAGATCAGGCCCAATTTGAGCGGTTCTCATACATTCTCTCTTTTCGTTTCGCCATGCCCGCCGGAATGTTATTTACAAAGCGAAACGAAAATAGAGCCTGATCTCAGGTTAAAACAGCTCAAATATCCGGTCGGTACACACTATCTGTACTGAAGAAGTTTTGTGAAAATCTTTGTCGCCGCAACAAGTCGTACAAATGCAGTCTGATTTAATTTTTTGCGACTTGTTGTAGCGGCAAAATTCTGTTGCGGAGACAAAGATTTTCCCAAAAATTCTCCAGCACACACGAAGCGATTTGTCGCTCAGGCTTGAGAAAATACGGTCAAACCTCTATTGTCGCCTGACCTGTACACATGGAGTCATCCGTCGCCGCGAAGTGTTGCAACTGGTGTGTACCGACCTTTATGGAGCACAGTCAAAATTTAGTTCCGCTGGTGTACTCTATAACAAGTCGAGCTAATAGACAGATTTGAAAACACCATTTGACTGACACATTCTTTATTTCCCTTTTGCGACTAAATGTTTTTCACTTTCGCAAGATTTGCTATTCCATAGGTAACTATGTATTGATATTCTATAATTAAAGAATTTGCTTTAGGTTTTATAATAAGTTATAACAATTGTGAAATGACGAGCTTTCGCAAATAAACATGCGAATATTCGGATGGTGTTTTGATCCGAAAGAAAAAGGTTATTGAAGTTCTGGTGAACGGAACATAGGATAAAGGGATTTTACCATAAGGCTTTTGAGTTTGGGAAATGGTTTCATTAAAAAACCGATCTAAGAAAAGTGAGCTGTATTTTCTTAAATGTTGAACGAAATTTTTAAATTTTGCTGTAAAACTTGCCCTTACCATTGTCGACCCTGTCATACCCATTTTGAACGTACCACCTTTCATATTCTTCCACTATCGTAATCATTTTACCGGCGCTCCTCCTACGGCTCTGTCTAGGGGCACCTAACGTCAATTTTCGGAAAATATCTGTTCGGAAGACGATTTGACATCTAGAATTTTCGGAAAATTGTTGTAAAATTTCTTGCTTGCCTGCCTCTCCTTGGATTTTCGAACATCTAAAAAATGGCATAATTGCCCATTTTAAAAGGATTTTTACACTAAAAAGGAGCCTTTTTTCTGGCTGAAATTTTCGAAAAGGTAAGTTTTGATCCCTATAATTTTCGGATCATTAGACTTTCAGCTAGGAAATCCGAACAGATAAAAAATTTTTAGGAAATAAAAATATGCCTATATCTACCTTTTAAATACTAAATAGGTTTAACAATGCTATGTTTAAGTGGTTTTGAACTATATTCTCATTGGGTGCCCCGGTCAGTCAGGGTTTTTTTCATATAATAAATTTGCGGATTAAAAAATATCCGGTTATGTGTGGACGGGCCCTAAAAATGCGTATTTCGTCCTTTTCAATACGTGGTATAACCTAAATACCTCAGTAAAACCGAAAACAAGAGTTAAAGAAAGAGGTGGCATTTATACCCGCCAATATAGAGAGGTTTTCTAAACAAATGTTGCAGTAAATTTTGTCCTCCGGAACCGAAAAAGCGGAAAAGTGGCTGTTAAGTTTCACATGCTCTCTGAATCGTATCGCACCGTAAGTGTCGACGACATGCTCTTGACAAGTGTACATAAAACGTTTAAGACAGTGTCTTTTTCCAATACACGAAAACAGTTACACCTGTAACACAGTTTACGTATTAATGTTCCTGTTGTTAGTTTTTGTCAGCTCAATAAAAATTGAGATGAAATGGGAGCAAGACTCGTCTACAACTTGACTAAATTGCGCTTTCGAACAAAATGTTAACAAACAGTTGGAGAATTTGCTGACTGATCGCTAAGCCTAGAAAATGCCTTTCGGACTTCATCAGGAAACGATTACCTTAACTTGTTTTTTTATTATTATCCGTTCATGTTTTGGTTCTTTCCATAATTTGTCTAATTAGGTCTTAGCGGTAATCATTGGCTCTTCAAAAACCCGCTTTACGTTTAAGCCTGTTTATATGCAATGCTAATTTTATAATTTCAACAGGGCTACAGTTTCTTTAGAGGTCGTTACTTAAGCGCGCGTTTTATCTAAATTTCTGAGAGAGAGTCGGAGAGATAAAGGCATAACTACTGAACCCAGTGAACGTTTTGGGACTGTAGTTTAAGAAAGTGCTGCATTATTTTTTTTAGTTCTATATCTTTCCTCGAGTGTTTATTTTATTTTATTTATTTATCTATTGTTCTTTGCCAGACTGGACCAAAGCAACAGGCTAGTGGAGCTTACCGATTAAAACAAAGAAGTGACCAAAAAGTTAAAAAAAGAAAATTCAGATATCGTTATCTGAAACTGGGTGGTATTTCTTCATCTTGAGGACTGGTGCAATCACCAATGATATAGTATAAAAGATTGAAACGATTCTTAACAGAACCCACAACACAACTGACACAATAGCTAACCTACAGTAGTTTCCACAACACCAAAAATGAACACCGAGAAAGGTAGAAAAATGTTACGTTCTTCTTTTATGAGACGCCAATGACCAGTGCATCCTGGGTCAGGAAAAACAGGTTCACGGACAGAGCATTCGAGTGGCGGCACTGAAATCCGCTTACGTCTCGCTTAAGACAGATAGACGACCAGTCTAAGTTTCTGCCAAGGAGTTTACTACTGGAGACTAGCATTTCTGGGTAATGTGAAAAAAAAAACAAGTGGTTTAGTTTAGTTAACTCTTTTAAGGGGAGCTTGACTTAAGAGCTAATCAGGTCTTTTGCATTCTTCAATGTCTTAGCAATATTTACGGTGCGACTCAGTCAGGGAAATTGCCGCTTAACAAAACAGAAAACTGGCTTTACTAACATATTACCAGTGTTAAGACTTAAACTATAATAAAAATTACTGTTTTAAGAACATTACTCGGGTAAACAAAATGCCTGTGAGGAATACTTAAAAGAAGATAATCTAGCCACAAAAATCATCATTTATACTGCAATCAACGGCGTCGGAATACGTACAAGGCCAAACAAGCTGAATTGATACCCTGACATAGCTAGGATCGCGATCGCTTTGCAGCTCTTTTCAGTTGTAAAATCTGTGGCACTTGACAAAAGATTCAGGGGATTGATCGCTTTGAAAATGACGGCGTACGATCTGTCGTACGCTACGCGATGGAACCAGATTCAGGTGAGAGCCTTGAGTGACCCAAGACTTAGAGGAATTCCTAAAGTTCAACGATCACCAAGGATAACAAACTATATGAGATTGTCCTTTGGCTCAAGAAGTAGGGTTTTAAATATGGAAAATACATTCGAAAATGCGAAAAAAGACGAAGACGAACTTGTCAATGGGGAAAAAACCGAAAAGAGACTTAATGCGTTCGAGTACTTCAAGCTGCATCGAAGAGATGAAGATATTGATTTAAGCGGTTGGTCTCTGGACAAAGTAACTGCGTCCGGAATTTCAATGGAGTTACCCTCATGTGCAAACATTGTTCGTTTGTCTCTTGCCAACAGCAGCCTCAAAGATGAAGGCGGAAAAATTATAGCTAAAGGACTCGAGGAAAATTTGTCCGTGAGAGAGCTGGACCTGACTGGAAATATGCTTGGAGAAAATGCCATTTCTGCTATTGGAGAAATGCTAAACAAGAATCAGACAATAGAGAAACTGAATCTTTCGAAAAACAACTTAACAGACCACGACGTACAGGTCTTTCTGAATTGTCTTTGCCGCAAAACCTTTTTAAAAGATTTAGATCTATCCAATAATATTTTGTGTGACCAGTTCGCGAAACAGATGTCCTTTGTTCTAGAAAAGAACTTTTTTCTTGAAAAGCTTTCCATTTACTCAAACCAGTTGGAAGCATCGGGCTTGCAGGCCATATCCTCAGGGTTACGAAAAACAAAAACACTTTCTTTCCTAAACATTTCCTGGAATTATTTGCATGACGCTGGAGCTGAAATTCTTGGTGAAATAATCGCTGAAAATAGAAGCCTCGTAGAGATTTCCGCCTGCGGGAATTTGTTAACCACGAAATCTACCAGAAGTCTTGCCACAGGTGTTTCAAGTAACTCTAGGTTAAAAATTCTCCGTATTGGTCAGAATTTGATAAAGAATTCCGGAGCTTATGAATTTGTAAAGGTTTTATTTGAGAGTGGCAAACCAATCTCGCTGGAAACGTTGGATATCAACGGAACTATCGTGGACAGAAGATTTAAAGAACTTATCGAAACAGGATTACCCGAAAACTTGTCCTCCCTGAAAGTTGTTAATTTTTCGGTGGTCGAGTGTTTTGTGAATAAGACAACTTGAAAATAGAAAACTGAAAAAAAAAAGAATTAAGGAAATTAAAATAATGTAAATAGCATGAATGAGAGACAATAAAGAAATTTCAAACTGTTCCTTCGTACTCTCACTAGTAACAACTGAATCCTTTTTTCTTCTTAGTACTCAAGTACTCAAAAGGCTTACAGTGGAGCCCCGAAAAAAAAAAGAACCGAGATTGGCCAGCTCAGAAGAAACATTGCCCTGAGTGCAAAAATCGGTACTTACCGTAAAATTCCGAAAATAAGCCCGTCCATGTATAAGCCTCCCAAACCGGTAACGCAAAAAAACACTCCGTTAAATCGCCCCTCCAAAAGAATAAGCTCCTCGGGGGCTTGTACTTGGAAAATTGCCCTCAAATACAAAGTAAAACAAAGCAAAAACGGTAAATTTACTTCCAATTATAAGGCTAGCCCAATCGGTTTTGAAACGCAAATTTTTCTCCGCAGAAAAGCCCCTCCGAATATAAGCCCCTCCAAAAATAAGCCCCTCAAAAATATAAGCCCCGGGACTTATTTTTGGAATTTTACGGTATTCTCCTAAGGAGGCTCAGTTTTATTATAAGCGCGAAGCCGGGAGGTGGGTCGGCGAAATCCGTTGATATACAATGCAATATATTTCCTAATCCTTTTTCCTACCCTCGGTAGCGTGCGTACAGACGCCACCTGCCCTAAAAAAGTCCCCGATTTTTTTCTGAGGGGAGTGGGGCGTGTGTACACAGACTAACCCTCTGGAGCGAACAAAGTCTTCTAACCTCAGTTCACTCATACTATATCCAAACCCTACAGGTAATGCGCCCCTTGCGCGTACTGGGTTTCCCAAAGCAGCCTAACCTCCCCAGTTTTTTGCAAGATTTGGGGAGCAAACACTAGTGGAATCGAAAATACTCAATGGAGGCCTGCATTGGAAGCTTTGTTAATAATTTGAAGAGGTAAAAATGCTCACTGTCTGCGATGATTTCTATTGGAAGGTTTATCTTACAAAACGAGAGTTTAAAAAGGGTTTATTTTCTTATTGTGTCTTATGGTAAAATTTGGAAGGTCAGGACTTTCTTCTTCCCGGGTAAGTCCGAAATATCGGTAAAACTCTCAGTTCGTCGAAGTATAGTTTTTACAATGAAGAAATAAGAAAGCACTCTTGCCAGTGTGTTTTTGGCATTTGCTGTTTCCTCCGGATTTATTTGCTGCGTAGATTTGTTGTCTCAAGAACAGGCGTTACTTTTCGCGTTTTTCTAGCCTGTTCTAAGCTCTCAGATTGTGGGGAAGACGCGAAAGTAAAAGACGCGCTTTCTCAATTCAGCGGGCCCGACTATCTCCGGCCCGGGATCACCGGCGGAGCCTGGAACAGGCTAGCGTTTTTCACGAGGTGCAACCAAAAAGATGGCTGTTCAGCAGGTTATGCGATTTTTAACTTTTTTTCTCAAGAAGACATGACAATTGCTCTTTCAGGCTGGGTATGGGATGGGTAGGCTTGGAATTTTTTATCTAAAGTGACGACACCCAAATCCTGCTGGTTGAATTTGACTGGGCCATTGGTAAATATCCTTCTCTCTTGTTTACAATCAACTAGATCATTTTACTCTGTTTTACTCCGTTCTTTGTTTTGCTGAGCATCTAGCCTGCAGTGCAGGCGTATTTTGGGCGGGCGAAAGCTGCTTGTTTTTAATATGTTCGTATCAGTGTTAATCCGCAAAAAGGGCCGGCTCTGCACCGTGGAATAATATGACCTATATTTCGTGCATCCTAAATGAAGTATTAGCTTTAATTTTTACCAGTCCACTGGCCACAAAAATAGTGTTGGCTCAGATCTTATCATGTCGTGACGGTTCTCACGGACGGACTCGGACAACCAAGACACTGGCACATCAGCTTATACAACTTTCAAGTTGCGTCTGGCTTTAAAATGGAAGAACAAGAAGTCGAAGAAAATCCCCCAGTACGTCCTTACAAGTCTTTACACAGCTTTGTCGAGTCCCCTGTGCGATTCGTCAATAGAACGGGAAGGGAAGTACATGTAATCTGGATAAACTATGAAGGAAAGGAGGTGTTAAAAACTACTCTTCTTACAAACAAAAAACTGGATTTGAACACTTTTATGACCCATCCGTGGATAGCAGTGGATGCAAAAACGAATGAAAGAATGTTGTTGAACTTTAGAAAAACATATCTCCCCGGTGAACCGGAAGTACGGCGGATGGATTTTGAGCATCGTAAAGCTTATGTTGTAAGAGCACAAGTACTCATAACATTACCCGGTAAGGATGTTCATAGACTGTCGTTAAGATCCTGGCAATTTAAAAATATTCCAGGAAGTAAATTATAGTTGTGTGTCCTCGAAGCACCCATTATTGACACTTCTTGTTCGAATGCTACAAATCAACCTGTTTCAAGATCTAGATGAGCAGGGACGGGGGGGAGCTTATTTTCGTGACGCCGTACGTGATATCGACCATTTTTGGTGTCCGTGATACGTGATGTACTGAAAAATTGTCCAGTGAATCGTGATTGAAGTGATCTCCGTGAAACGCCTGAACTGCCAAAATCCTTGTTTGTGTATATGTACATTGAAGATCAATTATTGAAGAAATTCAATCGTTAATTTGGCCAAATAACCTTAACTAGCATGACTGGTGGCTTGATTAAGGGCCTGTTTACATGGAGGTGGGGGACCCCAGGTAGGTGCGGTAACCCGCTTAGATGGGGTTAAAACATAACCCTCCTTTACATGCACTCTTACAACCACGCCATCCCGGGCTGCACTTTCTCAAGATTCTTGGATGGTTGCTAAGCACGTAAACAAGAAAAATGCTGGAAAACCACGTGTTTTGGCAATTAATGCTCTTCAACAGTCAGTTGCTGCTCTTGCTGCAACCTCCAGTGCTGTGGTTTTCTATTGTTACCTTTAATAATGATGCAAAGCCACCACCAAAGTGATTTTTGTGCGAATTTGATGTATCACAAATCCGACCCCGGTAAGGCGGGTTAACCACATTGAAACGTTACGTGGCAACATTTGACCCCGGCTGAGAGGGTAACCCAGTCTGGCAGACCGGGCTACCTGCCTTGGCGGGTCACCCCACCTATCATGTAAACGTGATCAAATTAAAATGAGAGATTATATGGACAGGTGGGTTACCCCACCTAAGTGGGTTACCTCACCTACCTGGGGTCCCTCACCTCCATTTAAACAGGTCCTAAAATTCATTTTTGAATTTTTTGATGTAACTTCACACTTCAGACTCACCTACAGCTGGCTTCCCTTGGGAATTTATTGGTTCTTAAAACTTAAGTAATCTAATCGAACACTGACTGCTTTACAAAATGGGACTAAAGTAACATTTTTGGCATTTTGTATGACCTCTATTTTTTGAGAAGCGTGAAAACATTAAGAATTGGTTTTGTGACTCGTGAAATGCAAAGTTGTTGTTTGTGAACTAGTGATGAGTTTTCAAAATAGAAGGACAGTGCCGTGAGGTTTTTGGTTTTGCCGTGACAGTTGTGGGCCACCGTAGACCCCCCCCCTCCCCCCCCCCCCCCCCCCCCACCCCCCCTTGCCCCCCCCCCCCTCCTAGATGCCTAGAGGAATCTAATTTTTAAAATAGAAGTACAGTGCTGTACATTAATTTTACTTTTCATTTACTGTTAGCTTATATTGTTTTATGATACGGAAAAATTAAAAATTGAAGGAAAAACCCTGAATAAGAAAAACATTCCTTGATAATGGTTACCTGGACATAAAATTTATGAAATAATAAAACTTGGCAGTTAAAGCCTACTTAAAGTTTTTTGCTAAAAATATTTATGCATATTGACTGAAAAGATGAAATTTCACCAGAGTAAAGTAAAATCTGATTCTAATAAATTTGAATGCACTAAAGATAAAATTTAAAACTGATACTGAAATATTGATAATCTCATGGTTTCAGTTTAAGGTTAAGAATCCCAACCAGCTGGAGGCAAACTACAAGGCTGTGCTCTAAGGAAAATTGAAGAGAGCCCAATGCTCTGGGCCTGTAAAATCTAGGGTGCCCAGCACATGATTTGTTTAAAAAATCTAAGATTTTCTAGTTGCCTGATAGGAAAAGTTAGATGCCAGGGGCTATTGAGCTTAGGCTGCGAATACAGCCGTTTCTCCTAGCTCCTTGCTACTATAAAGGGACATTTCGCCAGGAGGAAAATCTGCTACTCAGCGACAGAAATTCCATACTTCATGCTTCTCCTGGTGGATTATGGTAAAGTTTTGTAATCTTTTGTGAACGAGCTCCAACAAAACTCAGATGCTTTTTCTAAAGAAGAATCTATTCTAGGAATATTGACTGTTTTGTAGTAGATTCATCACGTTTACATTTGGCCATTGTGGCTTTTTGTCTGTCATTCATAAACAATAGGTAAAACAATATAAAGTTCTAATGCATTGACCAATCAGAGCTCTTAACCAGATTCGGGACAGATTTTATGCCATCAGTATGCAATTTCAGTCACTGAGGTGCAGACATTTTTCTTGGTAACAGTCCTTAGCAGTGAGGAGCAAGGAGAAACAGCTGTATTTGCAAGCTACATCGGGCTCTCACAACTCTGATCTAGTTGTTCATTGACAAGTGTGGTTAAGGATTTGAGTTCAGGACTACTGGGAACAAATCCAGCAAGCAGTCAGGGTCTTACTTGAACTTGAGACTTCTGCACACTCAGCCAGGCTGCCTCTTTTTATGTTCGTAGGATTTTAAACCATTGCTTAATACATCAAGGGATTCAGATTTTCAAATACAGTGGTAGTTCAATCCAGGATTTAGTTCCCCTGTAAAAACATGAACATTTTACCACATCGGTTTTAGCATCTAGTCTTAAAAACAAATAATATAATCTAGGTCAGTTTTCTAAGTGTTATCCATTTGGTGTTGTAGCTGTCTTTTTTATTCAGAAGCAGTTTTTTTGTAAAACTTATGACACCAAAGAACGACAAGTAATGTTCAGTATTCTTTATTTCTTAAATTTCTATTTTTTTTGTTATAGTCTGCAAGCTTGAAGAATACTGTGTAAAGACCCTGAAGAACATTGTTTCTCCACAAGACATCTGTAAACTTCCTCTTCCACCACTGATTCTTGAGAAAATTTCTCGGACATCATCATGATTCAAGTCATTTTTATGTATGTGGTATGACGGGTCAGACCCAAGGAATTGCAATGTTTATAAAGCATTATTTAGTAAACTTGAATTACAAATACAGCTTTAAAGATGCCATTCAAAGGTGTCATAAAATATTAAAAATAAGCTGGTCATTTACCATACAGCCCAAGTGCGAAATGTACAGTTACTTGCAAGAAGCATACCATTAAATTCAGCTAGGAATTTTTTTTAATATGCCAGTTGCACAAGTCCCATAATGCACCTTATTTGCCCCCCCCCCCCTTAATTTTGCATAAGCATTGTTTTCAATTTCTCTTGGGATGGCTGTAATATTCAATAGAAATGAAAAACAAAGGATATGCAAACTTTTGGGGGGCAAATAAGGTGCATTATGGGAGACGTGCTAGTGGCGTATGACTTGGGTAACATAGAAGGTTGTGAGATTACAAATGACCACAATAGCATAACCATTCAATGTATTGCCATACATATCAGTATTTTAATATTAGCTTTTCAAATCAATTCGTTTACATGTGGCTGAAATCTCTGCCATTTTCCTGCTCTAAGATTATTAAGGAATCGTAAGGAGAATTAAAGATAAGATTAGGAAATAATCTTAGGATGCCATTCTTCACAGTCTGTCATTATTTATATTACTCATTGCTACTCATTTGTAATTGGAGTTTGCAGAATGAAAGGAATAGTAAAGAAAAATAATTTGTGCATGAGATTATCTTATCATTTTGTTTTGTTATCATAGGCTATGTCCTTCATGTTTGTTTGATTATAGTGTTGAGTAGTAACGTAAAACCTTTAGAATCCCCTAAACATGGAGTGTCCAGCTGGGAGGAGTAGTATAAACAAGTACTTTCCAGTATGTATGAAACAAATACTATTTATAAAATCTAATAAAGCTAATATTGGAAATACAAATATTTGACTATTAAGTTTAGATTCTCCTGTGGAAATGGATAAGGGTGTGTAAAGAGCAACAGTTGAGTAGGAGCTGCTTGTAAGGTCTCTCCTGATTGGTCTCAGAAAACAATGACATGTCATTCTTTCAATTGTTTCAGTATTGTTTGGAGTCAGGGTTGGGCACCATAGTGACTTCTCTTCTGAGCAGCTGCTACATGACCCCAGTTGAGTAATGTAAATCCCTCCGTGTACATATTGGAGGCCCTGTTACATTAAAATTCTCACAAGCGACATGGCCTTGAAACAGCAACATGAGAATGGATGAAGTGGTGAGAAACGACATTAAGATGGGTTAAATACCGACAGGGACATAGCCTACTCCTAAAAATGCAAAAATAATGACCGTCTTTGAAATTCAGGTTAGGGACATATGTTCCCCCCCCCCCAACCCCCACTAAGAGGGCCTCATACCCAGTACATGTCAGCAAGGAAGTAAAATTTATATCAAACAAAGCCACCTCCAGCCCTGCTTCCACTCAAATAAACGGTTCCGTAATACCGTGAACAATCTTATTTCACCGAATACCGTCAGCCAAAATGATGAAAAACCGCACACACCGCAGAGCTAGATGATACCGCGATACCGCAATACCGCACGTTAAAATTAAATTACCGAAATACCGCATGAAAAAAAGCCCAATACCGCAATACCGTAAACCCCCATGCATTCATGACCGAATTATAGGGCCAATTCGAATTACGCGATGACGTAATAAAAGGGCTGCGATATCCAGAATTAACGTCGATATGGTTTACAAGCTAAAAACTGACGCTGAAACTCGCGCCTATGTACAACTTTTGATAAATTTCAAGGGGGTGCGTACTGAAAATATTTTTAATAAAGTGGATATTTCTCGTTCTTCACTTTATCCTATTGTTAAGGCCCAAACAATCACGGATAGGGTAAGGATTGACACGTAAGTGGGGACAGTCACTGGCCGGCCACGGAAATATGGAGCGTTAGTGAGGAGCGGCCGTCACTGCGTTCAATATCGAAACTACGGAAAAGTGAGGGTAAATTCATGGCCAATTCAATAAAAAACTAAGGACAGCGTAGCAAACATTTCAAGTGTACACGAAAACAATTACTTTCAATCCCACCTCGTGACACCCTGTGTGACATGATAACGCAACGCAAATAGCGTGACATAAGCGCATATGTCTGTGTATTTCGACTGCATTTCTCAAGCGAAACCCTGTGTTTTTGTGTATTGTCGGCAGAGAAAATGAAAAGAGAGCTTTGAAACGTGAACTGGTATTTGACTCTCAAACAAAAGGAAAGCTCAAACTGAGGAAAACACTGCTTCCTTCGTGTTACAACGGTTAACCACGTTTCGGCAAACGGAAAGTAACATTAGTCTGTTATGACCTCTTAATGTCGATATGTACTCTCGTGGTTAACCGTTGAAACTCCTTATTTGCACCACATCGCGGGAATTTTTCTAGCCAAGAATACGTATTGCGAAGCACTTTCTATATAGCGGAATCTTCTTTTGCCTTTTGTGAGGAATTAGCGCATAAAAAAGGAAAATTTCCCAGCGCACGGCCGTCATCGATCACGTGTTATTCCGCTTTGCTTGTCATCAGGTGAACTTCTGAGCCAAAGTAATTGCTGTTTTGGCGATGATACAAACTGGTGTGTCTATTTGGAACGCGCGCGGGGGTACAAGATTAAGTAATGACATACGCTGCGTACATTTTACTCTACGCATACTACAAATCAGGACGAAACTCTATAAATTGATGTTTAAAAACAAACAATTTGGCCCATAGAGTAACGTCATCGTACAAAAATCTAGCCGGAAAACACAGATACATATTTCAGACAATCAGGGACAAAAGTAGTTGACACAGTTGTTTAAAACGGGTGCTTTTAACAAACATTTAATTCATTTATTATTTCATTCCTTTTAAACGCCGTAAATCCCCCGACCCCCCGAATCAATGTTGTCTGAAGTAAAAAAGAGACTTGAGGGTCCAAAATTCAATGTTGTCTGAAGTAAAAAAAGACTTGAGGGTCCAAAATTCAACATTGATTTTGGGGGCAAGGGGTTAGGGTAGACAGGGGAAGGGGATAAGTATATCCACTATGCAAAAAGGGGCCATTTTACGGAATTGTGTCAACACTTTTGTCCCTCATTGTCTGAATGTAAAGTTGTGCTACTGCACACAAGTTGAGCCGTGTATAACACCGATTTTAACTGAAATTAAAGGAATCAATGACATAATTATGTTATTGGTGGTGCCCCTCCTTACCGTAAAATTCCGAAAATAAGCCCCTCAATGTATAAGCCCCCCAAACCGGTAACGCAAAAAACCCTCAGTTAAATCGCCCCTCGAAATATAACCACCGGGGGCTTGTACTTGAAAAATTTCCCTCAGTACAAAATAAAACAAAGCAAAAACGGTAACTTTACTTCCAGCCATAAGGCTAGCCCAATCGGTTTTGAAACGCAAATTTTTCTCCGTAGATAAGCCCCTCCAAAAATAAGCCCCACAAAAAGGGCCTTTGAAAAGTATAAGCCCAGGGGCTTATTTTCGGAATTTTACGGTATTCTCCTATTAAAGGAGGCTCAGTTTTATTATAAGCGCGAAGCCGGGAAGTGGGTCGGCGAAATCCGTTGATATACAGTGCAATATATTTCCTAATCCCTTCTCCCACCCTCTGTAGCCTGTGTACAGACGTCACCTCCCCTAAAAATATCCCCGATTTTTTTCTGAGGGGAGGGGGGCGGTTGTACACAGACTAACCCTCTGCAGCGAACAAAGACTTCTAACCTCGGTTCACTCATACTATATCCAAACCCTACAGGTAATACACCCCTTCCGCGTGCTGGGTTTCCCAAAGCAGCCTAACCCCGTCAGTTTTTTGCAAGATTTGGGGAGCAAACACTAGTGTGTAATATGGGGGACTCGAAAATACTCGGAGGCCCGCATTGGACGCTTTGTTAATAATTTGAAGAGATAAAAATGCTCACTGTCTGCGGTGATTTCTCTGGGAAGGTTTATCTTACAAAACGAGAGTTTAAAAAGGGTTTATTTTCTTATTGCGTCTTATGGTAAAAATTGGAAGGTCAGGACTTTCTTCTTCCGGTTAAGTCCGAAATATCGGTAAAACTCTAAGTTCGTCGAAGTATAAGTATAGTTTTTGCAATGAAGAAATAAGAAAGCACTCTTGCCAGTGTGTTTTTGGCATTTGCTGTTTCCTCCGGATTTGTTTACTGCGTAGATTTGTTGTTTCAAGAATAGGCGTTACTTTTTGCGTTTTTCAGGAGGTGCAACCAAAAAGATTACTGTTCCACAAGTGATGTAGCCTCTCACGCAGGCGTTTTTAGGGGAGCTCAACGCCTGCGTGGGAGGTTACAGGTTATGCGATTTTTAACCTTTTTTTGCAAGAAGACATGATAATTGCTCTTTCAGGCTGGCTATGGGATGGGAAGGGTTGGAATTTTTTATCTAAAGTGACGACACCCAAATCCTGCTGGTATTGACTGGGGCGTTGGTAAATATCCTCCTCTCTTGTTTACAGTCACCTAGATCATTTTACCCTGTTTCACTCCGTTCTTTGTTTTGCTGAGCATCTAGCCTCAGGGGCGGATCCAGGATTTTTTTTAGGAGGGGGTGCACTCGTCTCTTGCTCTACTTCTGTATTAGAAAACCGCAGGTCATCTCCCCCTAGATCCGCCCCTGAGCCTGCAGTGCAGGCCTATTTTGGGCGAGCGAAAGCAGTTTGTTAAAACCCGGGGGGGGGGCACTTGGGTATTTTTTGGGTGGGTATGTGCCGCCCGGGACTCCAAATTGGCACCCCGTTCTAAAAAAAATTTCCCCTAAAATTGATACGCCCGTTCTAGAAATGGGCCAATTTTTTATACCCCGTTCTAGAAATGTGCCATTTTTTTATACTCCGTTCCAGAAAGTTTGTAAATTGAAATAGCCCTGTTTTTTTAAAATAGATATTTCTTTATTTGTTCGACTTGTCCATCAAATAATTGCTTCTTCATAATCAGCAACAATTTTAAGCAGTCGATAAAGCCGTGATCCTCAATTTTTTATACCACGTTCTATAAAACGCCTCAGAAATGCATACAGCTTTTGAAAGCAGGAGGTTAAAAATCAGGTTACCGTTAGAC